TAGTTTAAATTCAACCGATTCCATTATTTTTTTCCAATGGAAACAAAGCTTGCATTTAAAATTACATATAAATTAAGCTTGAACTCATAGAAACAACTTTTAAAAATAATTTGTAAAAATTGGAAAATGTGCCAGTGGACTACATGTGTATGTATGTTACACTGTCGTCCACACATTTCTTTTTTTGTCATGTTAATTCTTATATCTTCTGTTATATGTACACTTACACAATATAGCATTAGCAATGATAAATTAAAATTTAACGTCCACACATGAAAATGTACATGTGCAGTACATGTACATGTACATTCAATCACCAAATTACATTGTTGCGCATGAAACATGTATCAAACATTACTTAATTCTCCACTTTCAACAACTCATGAAATAAAAAAGTGCCAAAGTGTCCAAAATCAATGAAAATATCAAGTGGGAAAAAACCTCATTCCCGATTGGAGGTTGGGGGGGGGGGGGGGTCTGAGAGTTAGATTAGAGAAACATGAAATAATTTCCTTCACATTGGGTTGGACCCAGGGCGGTCTCTATGCTCAGAACAGGTGACCTTCATTATGTACAGACTGGTTGGCTGGATAACAATGGGGGTCGTAACAATAGAAGCTGGCTGAGTGATGGCTCAGCCGTACCGATGATTGATAACAATGTTCTGGCTCTGGTTTTTTCCCTGATTTGCCTGACTGAACTTAGAATGATGTACAATGTTCTAAATTCGCTGATAGAGTTAGGCTGATAGAGGGTGTTTTTTTTTATACATGTAGATATATACAGAATTGCTAAAAGATTGCTTCATTCTCATAAAATAGACATTTTTGGCTAAAATGTTGACATAAAATGTCTATTTTATGAGAATGAAGCAATCTTTTAGCAATTCGGTATACATATACAGTAATACCATGACTTGACATTTTATCATCATTAAGGAAATGTTTCATAACATTTTTTTATACTGATACGGTATTGTTAAACTACGAATTGCCATGCCTTTGGACAGAACTGATGGGATGACGTCTTAGGCAAAATGTGTTTCTCTATAAAAAAAAATTTTCAGGTCATGCCTACAGAATAAGGCCCCAGCACCATGTATCTCCACTGACCATAGTGTCATCTATGCATGTACTTTATATGTTCTGTATGAAATGCCTTATACATGTACCGGTATGTACAGTGTACGTAGATGAACACGTATTTGTACATGTTAACCACATGTATGGCTATTCCGTAATAATGAAGTCGTACAAAGTGTTACAATCCTAGATTGTCTGCATTTGTGTAGGATAAAGAAGTATTCACAGCACAGTAAGGAGCATCCCATCCTGCAAGGGTGATGACCTTTTTCTCCTTAAGTACTTCATTGTTAAAGCCTGCATTATAATATTCAAGTGTTTCTCAACGAGAAGGGTGTGGGTTGTATAATATTTCTGGAACCCCAAATGTCAATATTTAAGTCTATCTGATAAATTTGATACTGGGTATAAAATTACACTTAAAACCAGAAATGATTTAATAAACATACATGTAACAGTATCTTGGTTATTTTAATTATTTATAAGTACAAGTACAAGCACACTATTTCTGAATACTCACGTTAACAAAATGACGCAGACATTGGGCTGATAAAATACCAAATGAGCATGGTGAAACATTTTAACGCAAATTTAACATGTCGGTTTGACAAGTACAGCACCATATAAGGATGTGACTTTGCATTTATGTTTGTAAACGTTTAGCAAAACTTCTCGCCATTTTACAAAAAAAGCTGACGCGTTTACTAATTATGTCTGCAGATCAGCACAACTGACATGATAATTAACGTCATTAATTATCATTGTGCCATGCATGTGTACATTGGAAGATCGTGTGAACGAAGGTCCCTTTTCTATATTTCGGGTTTAAAAATATATTTTTGAAAATTGTATACGGACTCAAGAATTTTTTAATTTTAATGTGTAAAACAACACATCCTTAGCACCATGCACAGACTCCTGAGAGCTCAATCCTCTACCCAGTACATGCTCCTATGTAAGCTCATGAAAATTTAAAACCATTATCATTTTTAATTTATAAAAATCAAACCATTCACAGTACATGTATGTGAACAAAGCTTGGCAGTGACTCTGCCATTCACAGCAGCAAATTGTCAGTAATCTGAGCACGTCGAGTGCGGGTGACTCAATCATTTGTGTTTGGAAATAATAGCCTCCTCACGATGTGCGAGCGCACGCAATGAAACCGGACTTGGCGTCGCTTTGCTCTGGAGCCAGTGTGTAAACACCAATAGCATGTCTGCTCGGCAGGCTTTTGCGTGGGTGCACTCAATTGTGTCGGCCTTTGATGTGATCGGGATTGTTTTGATTTTGGCGAGCAGGTAAAGTGCTCAAGTCTGTATGTTGAGCTGATTGTGATCAAACAATATGGTAGGCCTACGTGTCGACTGTGAACCAACTTCTTGATTTTTCCTCACATTTTCAAGTCAATCCTATAGTCATACAGTTTCTACAGCCGAACAGCGACTACATTTGTACACTCTAATGCATAATATCAGTCTGCACACAACCTTATAGCCACAATGTCCTGTTTACCCCTACGATAACATACCAAATTTTCCAAAATTTAGAACAGCTTTTTCAGTATTATGATGATTCAGGACTGCATGTTATGCAAAAATTCCAAAACAAATTTGTACACGTTTGTACAAATTTTTGTTTTAAAAGTTTCTGTTTTAGAAACTTCCCTGCAAGTTTCCCATGGAGGGTTGAAAACTTCATGAGATTGAAGATTTTCAACTGTTTATACTAAGCGAAATCTACTCCTGGAATAAGGAAACTCCATCTGAGTTCATTTATAAGACTGAGTAATTTTGCCAAAAAAACAAAATTCATGTAAATCAATATGAGGTTTTTCCCTTCAATTACGTATTTACACTGTATACTCAGTGTGTTACCTCCTAAGTAAAAGTTGGAAAAACACTCAGGTCCCGCCTCGACGCAAAAAATTCCATGTGATGAAAATTCATGTAATTTTTAAATACCATGTTTTCTAAATTTTGATGTTCTTAAGTCTAATCTTGATGAATAGGCAATGGACATAGTATGCGGATACTTCAAATTCTCTGCCAAATGTTTTACAGAGTCAGAACCCACAGCCCAAAATGGAGATCATGTTTTCTATGAAAAAAGCTAACAATCTTTTTTTTATGTAAATAATCTTTTAAACTGTGATTCACATGCAGTAAATTGCCTTTAATAAATTAACCCTAACTCCCTTGACCTTTTTGCTAGAATGTAGCCTCAATCCTGCAAAATCCTACAATTGGCAAAATAGCATCTAGCCTCAATCCTGCAAAATCCTCCATTATTTCTTGAATATGGTACGTGGAGGGGTGACCAGTGCCTGAATCCTGCAAAATCCTGCGTCAGTGACGGTCAATATGTTGAGGCTTGGCCAGTGACATCCTGGAGCAGTACGGAGGATTTCAAGCATAATCCAGGCCTATATTTATGCATGGCTGAGTCAAAACAACACAAGGTCCGGCCCAAGACCTTGACAAAGTGCATCCTACGGAATCAGTAATGCACTTTTGCCATGTACATGTAACCTCGATCCTCCAAATTCCTCCACTTTGGCAAAGAGGATTTTGAAGGATTCAGGGCAGTTAGGGTTAAAGCATTTTTCAATAACGATGAGAGTTAACAAGGAATAGGCAAATTGTGAAGTAAAAAAGCTACTCTTTCCTTTTTTGACTGTCTGCTGCTGTTTGAACAGTCACAGACAGTCAAAAAATAAAATTCTCTGCCCTTGCCATGCCTTTTACTGACCAACAATCAGATCATATTTCAAGCAAGCACTGTGACTAGTCAAATTCAATCACCTTTAGTCAAAGCATAGCTGTATCAAGTTACTTGTACATCAGTCACAGCCAGTCAATCCTGCTTTATGTAGGCTGGGAGCTCTTAACTGTTGGAAACAGTCACTTGATTGATTTTGATTGAAAAGACAACTTGGCACAGAATGTATGTTTGCATAAGAGGGTTAAGAGTGTTTTTGACCCCATTTTTTTGGTCATTTTGTACATTATTTTTGGTAGAAGTGCGATTTTTCTTACGCATTTTCCAGTTGTCGCGATTGCTAATTATTCAGATTTGCACATTCACAGTGCATCATGGTGAAACTGAAAGCCGTTGTGTGTTGCGTTTTGTTTTCGTCGATTTACCCCAAACTTACCCCCCCCCCCAAAAAAATCAAAACCTTGAACTTTATCCACAACAGTACTGATGGTTCAAACATCACAAATTAGGTGAGTAAAAAATAAGTTGATTTTCGTTCCATATATATTGCCTATCAATGTATGATCCTCCAAATTAGGAGACTAAACTTAAAATTAACAACAATGCCACAGTTCACAAAAGTCTGCCAAATGATGAACTGAATGTTCATCAACATACTGAACACATGATTATTACAGCTCGCATGTGACATTGTAAGACTTCAAAAAAACTTCACATGCGTTGCAAGCAAATTATCAACATACCGATAGTTTACTGAAGCAGTACACGTAAATTGCAATACACTTCCTTAGGTTGTCCTGCAAATGTTCATATGCAAAAGTTTGTAACAGTTTGACGTTTGATATCAGACTTTTTTTTTATTTTGGAGGTTGTTTTTTTTCAGTTGGACGTTTTATTTAAATAGCTGCAAAGAAAACCCTTGGAAAAAATGTTGCAACCTGACGCCACTTTTTTCTTCATATATCATCTCAATGAAGGTCATTCATTGCAAAAATGATAAGACATTAAATGATGAATCTGGGCCTGAGTGAGAAACATTTTGTACACAATCGCGGAAGTGGCGTCAGGTTGCAACATTTTTTCCAAACCCCTATCCCACCACAAATTATTACAGAATTATAACATCGAAAAACAACTTAATAATACTAGTAAAATCTACTTATATGTAAAAAATCAACAAACACAATTTTTGTTTACAAAATACATGTACAAACCTTTCCCAACTGCAGAAACAGACACAGAATCACTGCCCAGAAACATGACAGTCAGCAGATGTGGATAGGTAGTCTCCAAGGCAAGACACAGCATCTGAAAGGCTTGGCTCCCCCGGCTGGGCAGTAGGTCCAGCAGCTTCTGAACCTTAGCCTGCGGGCCGGGTTGCTGCTCGATCTCCCCCACGTCTGCCTGGCTCAGCACGCTGGGCTGAAGCATTGGGTACAACCGCTCGACCTCAACCGACTGCACAAACTTGGCCCGGTGGAACTTCAGAATCTGAGTGTGTCTCTCCTCCATGGCTTCGGCTGACCGGGAAGAGTTTATCTACAGACTGCCTTGTTGGTAGTTTGGCATCACTTCAGCCTGAAACCTTTTTCGTTTTCAGACATGTTTGTTATTAAAACCAAAACGCTTGGTCGATTTGTGTTCAACAACAGCTGTGCGGTCGGCCATTTTTGATTCTGTTCGAGAACTCTCGAAACGTCACACTCCTGGTTCGTTTATGGAGAAACAAACCACGTTATTTCGTTTCAAATACTTGAAGTTGATAAAGAAATTGACACTTTACCTGAATGTCACGAACGAGAAAATATTAAGCCCAGTTTGGGTCGACTTGGGTGAAAATTTGCAATGGGTGCCAACTATTTGCTACCCATTCGATAGTCGCCATCTTGAATGTTGAACAATTTTATGACAACAGCTCCCTCTCTGGCTGTCAATCAAAATGACGTCTTGTTCCATATAAGGCAAGAAAGGCGGAGAACTTTTGCCATACAAGGAAATGATATTACCATATAAGGAAATACAAGGGTACTTTTTTAACACCCATTTCCAGAAAAGTTTCTTTTATTTATTATCACAGCATTTATTGATGCGGTCTTCAAGTTAACAAAATGCTTGCTGTCGTACAATTTTGCTTATTTTGTTGAAATAACAGCATTATTTGCCCAGTTTGCAGCAATTTTATTAGTTTTCATTATTTTCCAAAGTAAAGAAAATATAAATTCAGCATAAAAAAATCCATAGTTCCGTCATGGAAGTCTAGGAAGGACTAGACCTCCATCGATCCATGATGGTCTATAAAACACATAGCTCCATGGTTCCATGCAAATAGAGAGGGGGAAAAATACGTTTGTCTCCCGGCCAAAGAACTTTTGTGTTAAAAGCAAAAAGGCCCAACAAACAAAACTGCTGACATCGCCTGGTCATTATTTATTCACTTTTTAAAGCATGATATTTTTGGAGACTGACATTTTGAAATTTTTTGGGAAAAACTGTGATCCATATCAAGACAAGATGAAGACAGGAACTAGCTTCGCGCCATGTCGGCAAATTCTGTTTTTTAATATATTTATTTTTCCATTTTTTTACGAGTCGTGGTTTTGAGATCAAACCCCATACGTACACACCACTAGACTCTTTCCAGAGGTTCGCTATAGCGCCCTCTACGTCAAGAAAGGTCTCAAACTGTAGTTGAAAACTGCTCCACTTTTTTCCCATTATGACTAAGATTACACGAAGAATGTCGATGATTGTACATATTGTATTGTCTCCCTTCAAACAAACACAAAGTTTTAAGTCCATGTCTTCGCAATCTCCAACTCAAATTTTCAATGTTCATTAGCCCTAAACTTGTTCACTTGTCCTCAGTTCCTCCTTGTTTTTCCGTTTTCATCTCTTTTTTTTTGTATATTTATCCCCTGCAGAATGTTTCACCGAATAAACTCCATAAATGAACACAATTTTCCACTTCGAATTTGTTTCAAAGCTGTTTATTTCATATCACTCAAAGAAAGAAAATCTTTTTAAACCAGTTTTTGAGGATGTGAATTTAAATGCTTAGTTTATGTGAGCTCCAATTGAGCATTCCTATTATTTTTTTATTCACTGAACAAAATTGCAAAGTTTCTATATTTTTGAAAATGTTATAGTGCAGTAGAACTCGAAACTATGATTTGTATGGGAAATGTAAAACAAGAATGGTGGTTTGTGAAATTATGTACTGAAAATGGCTTTATGGACAAATAACTTGAAAATCAACAATTTTTTTCAAAGGGTACAAAGAATTTTAGTATTACAATATGTGCAGACATTTTTTTTCTCTTAAAGGCACTAAGTATACTGGTTATTGTTGCATATCTACTTCAGTGTCAAAATCACAATATTAATGTTTGGAAAATATTTGTGAAAACATCAGTTTAACAAGATGTCAAGATTTGAGGGGAAAAAATGAAGGCACTGATGTGAAGACAAAAACTAATCTACAAAATACAGAGAAATATTTCGTTATCAAGAAACAAATGAAATAACCATTACATTTTCAAGAGAAACATGTAATAAATGCCAAACAAATCAAATGTATCTGCGATATCTACTTTGTTTAGTATTAGGAATAAATAATATTATTGCCATATATCATAGGTATATAACAATGAATTATGTCCAGAAACCCTGACCAGAAAACGGAACACAAATTAATATTTACCATCACCAATTTCATTACTTGTTTTTCGTCAATAGTAAAAAAAAATTGCATGAGATTCTACACTGATTTAATTTTTGTGCTTCAACACTACGCATCTTAAACAACAAACTGTGGTTTTTTTCTCCTGTATTAGTAATATTTCTTTGTTTCTGTTTGCTAAAAAGATTTCTAGAGTTTTGCTATTTAATGTACGACAATTGCAACAGTCGTTGAGCGGTAAAATATATACATTTTACGGTTGCACTTATATACTCACAGAAATTAGGCATGTACACAAAAGCAGGCACAAAACTATATTAAATACAACATTGATTATCTTAAAAGCAAAATTAAATAAAAAAATCAAAGCACATTTAAAGTGTGAAAGAAAAAGTATTATAATTTGCAATGTCAAATGAAGTTTTAAAAATAAATTTGCAAAGGCTCTTGAGAAATGCTAAATATGTTAAGCAACTATACAAAAAGAAGTACTGTTAAGTTTATCTTGTTAATTTCTAAGCTCATAATAATAGTTTGTATATATTTTACGGCATAATGAATTAATTTTAGCTACAAAGCAAAACATAACAAGTTTTTTAAAAGGGTAGAAATATAAGAAAAAAGATGTTGCAGGTATAATTTATTTCAATAAGTTATTAGTGTTTTTCCTTTTTGAATTTGCACTACAAATCAAAAATGTGTCGCTAACAAAAGCTCATAACATCAAATCCTGACAAATTTACCCCAAAATTTAATAAATATTCAAACCAAACTGAATATTGAAACGCCGAAAATTCTAGTAAAACAGACTGCAAGGTTTTTGCTTAAAGCTGCAACGTGATTAAAAAAAGGTTATCATTGTAATTTTGTTGTCACCTTTTTAAACAGAACATCAATATCATTTGTCTGAACATGTTACAAATTGATTACTGAGGGTATTAATTCAAAACCTTGATTTTTCATCAATATCAAAAAATGTAACTTCGACATTATCCGAGCATGAAACGCTGCAACGAAGTACAAAGTAAAGTATTTATGAAAATCACTATACATATAATATTTATCACAATTTTTGGCTAACATGCAATCTAATAATGCGCAAGTTTTAACAAAATGTCCACACAAAAAAAAAGATAAATAAACAACTGAAACCACCAAAAAATTCCTACTAATTTACATATTTCTAGCTCTTAATACAACAAGCCTAACATCAAAACTGGAAGACAATGATTTTCAAAAAGCTTTACTAGTTGCATTATTTTTATTTTTTTTGTTGATAGACCTCATGGGAGCAGCCATCTTTGTTGGTCAAGTTCCTTGAAGGCAAAGTAATGAAATACCTATGAGGCTGACCATGACATCACAGGTACCTGCCTATATGTTCATATTGCTACCTAAATAAGGTTTTAGCCCGACACAGTCACTATTGTCAATGGCTATGGATAGTCACTGTGGCGTGCCAATAGCCAAAATAGCCTTAGCCCTATTAAACTCAATTCGGACACTGCAAATGAGGTCATTTTGGGTGTAGAAATAACTACACCATTTTTGGATGTAACACTATGCGTACACACTCGCTTTTATCTATTCACAGCTATTTAATCATATAATACACTTTTGCATATTCATTCAAATTTCATATAAACTATATCGAATTGTCATTATCATAAGATACTCTAAAATATTGCTACGCGGTGCGGAGTGCATCTTTAAGTATGCTTCAAAAACCCATAATACAGAAAACTGCACGGCGATTATTTTTTTTTACTAAGCCTTGTGTCATATGGTTGTAGCCTCCGTAAGGCACAGTACATGTGTCATGATAGCCTTGAGCTCAAGTCAAATAAATTTTGGCCGAAAACCTACACATAAATATTGAGTCCACAGCATACCTCAAAATACAATTAGCGTGGCTGATTGCGTTACTCCTATACATTACTATTGCAAAGATTCCATCTAATATGCAAATATACCACAAATACAGCTAACAGTCCTTTCCAATATTAGTATTTTAATATTTAACAAAAAAATGTCCTTAATTTAACAGAAAACTTTAGAATCCAGCAAAATATTACTCGTTTCTACACCTTCACCCAATTGTTCCAAAAAATCTTTTTTCCTTTTCTTTTTTTAAGTTGGTAATCAACCAAGTCACAAAAAATGTTAACCAACACCTTCACCAGCTGTGTTGAGATCCTTCAGTAATAACCTGGCCAAACTCAGAGCATTCCAACGTGAGAACAGACCCCGATCCACAAGGCTCCGCCCCGTGGTTTCTTTGACCAATCACGGCTGTGATTAATGTCCGACATGCAAGGAACAAGAATTAAGATATTGGAGAGACGAGCATGTTGTTGCCCACGAGGGCTCAGGGGGCAGGGGCTTATTGACTGGTCACCTGCTAGGCACAGTGCTGGTTGGTACACATTATGGACCATTAAAATGCAATATGAGTTATTCCGAGTCAGAGTTGTAATGACTCGAGTCAATGACTCGACTCGAGTCCGACTCAAGTCACAATTTTTGATGACTCGACTCGACTCGAGTCCCTAAGGGTAAATGACTCGACTCGAATCGCCGCAAGCAAATGACTCGACTCAACTCAAGTCCCTCATCAGAAAACTTGACTCGAGGAAGGCTAATAAGACTCGAGTCCCAAAAATGAAAGCAAAACATTACGAAAAGTATTTGCAATGACTTACGGTGCAAAAGGTATGTTCACGTCACTTTGCGAAAACAGTACGGTACAGCAGCCGCTTGTCATGTACAAACATACAATGTGTCACAGACTCCCACCTCATGGTTCTAGAACGCACAAAATACTATCCAGGAACCAGATTTTAAACACATTTTCCGATTCATTGTTTCATCATTGGCTTTGGGCGATTTCTTATAAAGCTCTTGGATTCGAACGCCAGCTAGATGTAGGCCTATGCCCTCCTTTCATAAATTTTGGAATATAGTGTTCAAATATTCGTGACTCGAATTGACTTGAGTTTAATATTTGACTCGATTCAACTTTCTTGACGTAATGACTCGACTCAACTCGACTCGAGTCACTTCTTTAAAATGGCTCGACTCAACTCGAGTCACTTCTTTAAAATGACTCGACTCGACTCGAGTCACAAAAATCAGTGACTCGTTACAACTCTGTTCTGAGTTTTCAGATGCAACCCAATGCACAAGAAAAAATTGCCAACACCTACAGCCTTGCTCTTCTTTCACTATGGTTCACCAAAGAACTTAGCAAAAACCGGGTTGTTTCCCAAATTCTAGCTAGTTGGTCTATCCCCATCTGTTTGTCTGTTGTCCTGTCTTGTTTCTGTAGGTGTTTCCTATGGAGCGTGCATTTTGCAGTACGGTTGTCCTCGATCTGCGTAGAAGGCTTGGCCTTCTAAAGGAACTCCGCATGACTGGAGAAAAAAAAAGCAACAAGATCTTTGTTAGAGGGAGGTTTCTCTAGAGTTGACATGCCAAAATTGGTTGTGAACTAATACACAAATATAACATGTTTTGTGGGTGGATAGTTGCAACTAGCTCCCTGAGGTATTGGAAGTTAACAAACTAGTTCCCGAGGCAAAGCTGAGGGAGCTAATTTGTCAACGTCCAATACCTTGGGGGAAGTTGACAAATTTCGCCTCGGGAACTACTTTGTCAACTTCAAATACTAAGGGGAGGTAATACTGACGAACCACCTGGAGTAAACCATGTAATATTTGCTTCACTATAGCTCAAACATATTCACCATCATTCGAGTTATGTAACAGTTTTTTTGGCAGAACATTTCTGTGCGTGTGACGCCATCGTTTGGTGTACCTTGGGCGATGCTCACACATGCACATTACTACCTGTTCAATAGTTCCACCATTGCTTAGTCAAGCGCATTCGTAGTACACTATTACATGAGCAACCCATGTGATAGTCAGATGTGCGTGCGCATTTAACCTGCGTGTGCATCCTCGCGTGTCTGCTTGGTAAATAGCGAAACTATAGCAGCCAGCCTTGATCAATGGGTGCGTGCGCATTCCTTCACTAACCCATGGCCGTGAGGAAAACGTAAACGACGCTGACCAGCTAATCAAAGCGTACTGCGCACTTATTTCGAAGACTGCACGCCCTATTTACGCTCACGCCTCACCTACTGCGTGGCATGTCACGTGCGATTTTTTTTTTTTTCCAAAACTGCACGTTGCCTGTACGATGGATTCTGGATGCCTCATATTTTTGCCCCAAAAAGCGTTATCTTGTTATAAAGAGACGACAGATTTACGTACGTTGAATAGATCCTTGCTAAACAACGCAGTGCGAAATCTCATGTTTGAAAGGATTGACTCTACACACACAAACCTTTCAAAATGTTAAGCACTGCGTCACGTTTTAAATACATTGACTGTGTCCCAAATAGTGGGACATCTAAATTACACAATTCCAGGGGTTAAGATCGCACAAGGCATGATGCGAACCAAGATGGCGCAGTACGATCGTATCCATGGAAACGAGGTTGTATAGCAGCTCACACATGATGGTGAATGGACCAGTGAGAATTTGGCTCTTGCTCATGAATATGTATGAGGTATATTAAAGGGAAAATACAACATTTGCAAACATCAAAAAATAAAACTACCAAATCATTTTGAAATACCTTGCTGGACTATTAGTGAATGACAGTGTAAAGCATCCTGTAAAATCATGGCACCTGGTATACTGTCATTTTCAAGAAAAGTGGTATTTTTGTATCAATTTCCAACACTGGTCGGCCGACCAGCGTTGAAAAAAACTGGGTTTTTTTCAAATACTGGCCCCAATTGACCATCGCACTTGTTTGCAATCGATTACACACCTATGAACGGGTACAAGCCAGCTAGACTGGTTCCCTGACCTTACGATTCCCCAATGTATGCAAACTGCTCTGTTTCTTCTTATATGGAGTCAGGGAACCAGACTACAGGAAGACGATTGTTTTTCTTGGTTTTTATAGCATTTTCGAACCCAAACCCTCAAAACAGTCAGTGTAACTATATTTGATATATATTTCCAACCCCCCAATTCCATCCATTTCTGAAAATTACAGCAAAAGCAAATGATGTATATTCCCTTTAACATGTATGTTATGAGGAGACTTACCGGATTGGAGCAGGTAAAGCAGTTGGAATGCCACTGCTTATTCAGCGCCTCCACCCAGGCATCACCGGGCTCAACTGGGTAGTTACAGGCGGCACAGCGAACAGAGAACAGTTTCTGATAGTCTGTAACAGGAAGAAACAAAGGAGAAAAATCAACGCAACAAGTGTTAGCTAGATGTGGGTAGTTACAGGAGGATATAAAACAGTGCCTGATGGACCTTATGCACGAGGGAGCCATTTTGGTCATGTTCCCAGGAGTATTTTATAAGTTGTGAACTGTTAAATGGGATGGTGCCAGACTATTTATGCATTCTAGCCTCACTTTCAATTTTTTTTTTAAATTGTAGCTTTAAACATTATCAGAGCAGACTGGTATCGATTTGTAATTTACATGTACTTGATGTAATTGCTTTCATTTCTCTTCGCAAGTTTCAAAAATGAAGATTTTGCCTCAATTTAAATTTAATATGGCCGACAGTTTAATACGGCTTGGATGAGAGGACGGGGTGGGGACAAGAGTGTGAGCCACATTTGTCTTGAATAGAACTGCCTGAGAACGGCTTGGACTGGATGAGGACATGGCACACACGGATTATGGTCTGGGATCCTAGCCACGCTTCAATACATTGGTCGTGACCATCGTATCACACACGGGGCAAGAGAACGGGGCTAGAGAACCGCACTGCGTGACAGGGGCTTAAAGGTTTAATAATGTTTAGAATTGAGACTTGTTTATTGTGGAGTGCTTTGGCCTTGTGGTTAAGGGTACTGGATTCGTGGTCTGTGGGTAAAGCTGCAGGTTGTGGGTTCGAGTCCTGGCGGGGTCATGGTGCGTGTGCCCTTGGGCAAGGCACTTTGTCACTCATTGCTTCTCTCCACCCAGGAGTAAATGGGTACCTGTGAGGGCAGAGATGGTTAATGTGATTGAATTAGCTTCCTTGCGCCTAACAGGCAGCATCGAGCTGTATACTCCCCAGGGAGCTGAGATGGTATTTGGAATGTTCCATGTGCCCAATGAGCAGGGTAATAATGATGTAGCGCCTTGAGCACCAGTCCTGGTGGATACGTGCGTTTTATAAATATCCACTATTATTATTATTATTATATACCTCTCTTGCAGTATGGTTTGCCCTCGCTGATATGGAAGGAAGTCCCAGTGATAGGGTCTTTGCAATGATGACAGACAAAGCAATCAGAATGGTACTGGCTACCCATGGCCTGGACGCAGCCCTGTAGAGTCAGCAGAAAGAATAGTATCAAAAATATATCATGGTTAGAGGAGTAGATAGCCGATATTATACAACGCGTGAATAAATCCCCGTCATCTGATTGGTAAGTCGTTGATCACATGTCATTGATATTATTCTTTCCAACCCCCGGCACGGCCACACCGCAAAAAAAGAAGCTTCATTCAACGGTGAGTAGAACTTCCATTGCACGGTCACACTATTGGTGGCTCTGACCTCTCAGATGACGAGGATTATGTCAGGTGTTGTATAAACAAATAATACATGTTTATGAGTGCAATGGAAAGAATAATTTACTTTCGATGACAGATGGAGTGTTCCATTCCACTCGTCAAATGGAACATTCCATCTGTCACCTCATGAAATTATTCTTACCATTGCACTCATAAACAGTCATAATCTTTGTACTACCTCTCCTCAAAATAGGAAGTTGACGAACTAGTTCCAGAAATTCATTGTCACCTAATGTCACTGCGAGTTTCTCCACTTACTGCTGACCCAAACATGCAAATCTTTGACATCTTATATTGACGTACTTCATTACAAGAAATTTTTCTGCATTTCCAATGTCGGTCCATACCAGCTGTAATCAAGTCATACTAGTCAGGTTGGTGTAGGGAGTCAGCTTGGCGTAGCGGTACTTTCCTCGCCTTCCACCGCTGTGACCCGGGTTCGATTCCTACCTTGGCCACATATGGATTGGGTTTTCAGTCCCCGCCTGATACTGTGGGTTTCCCCCAGAAAATTCTTCCGTGGTTTTCCTCAGCGTCGGAAATCCCGTGTGTGCGTGAGAACTAGTGTGAGAATAACCCGAAACGCATTATTCTCACGCTCAATGCGTGATAGTTGGCAGGCCTGAGTAAAAACCAGCCTTTAGGCCAAAAAAAAAAAGTCTCCGGTTTCTGGTATGCGCGCGCGTCGCCGTAGCCATGCGCGTCGGCAAAATGAAAAAGTTTTTTTTTCAATGAAAGATGATGTCTCAAAACCGCCAAACTCACTGGTTTGACTGGAATTCTGCTGCTGCGCAATTTCAACGTGTTTTTAGATGGGGTTATGATCGAGAATAAGCTTTATGTGGCCTCTCTGGACTCCCATATATTTGCACTAAGTTTAGTCGGTCACCATTTGCAGTCATCAGCCGACATTTGAAGCAAAAAAGTCGGGTAAAAAAAAAAAAAAAAGCCGCGTCGCCGCACCGCTTTTTGGACAAGCTCCATACCAGAAACCGGAGACTTTTTTTTTTTGGCCTTACTTCTAGACGTGGCTCAGAGTGTCTCCTTACCCCTTGGGAGATAGGCCTGTTGCAGATGGCACAATTGGGTGCGTACAGGCTGTTGAAGTCCCTCTCGCAGTACACCTTACCGTTCTGCTCCACGAAGCCCTGGGTGGAGAGGTTCTGATGGCAGTGAGCACAGACGAAGTGCTCAGGGTGCCAATTACGGCCCACGGCAGACACGAACGGACCTCTGAACGGAACAAAAATAGCGACACAGCTATTAAAATCATCAAAGTAAGTGCCAATTCTGAGAAACTAGTGAGGTTTTTCCATCCGGGATATATCCATTGTACATGTACATGTAGCTATTTGTAACCTTTATTAACCATTCCGTTGTTTTACATTGAGTGTGTGTACGCATACACTTGGTCATCAGAACCAAGCAGCAATCCAAAATTGCAGTCTCCGATAAAAGCCTCATATATAGGGTGGCCCAAAAAATGTGTAAACTTTTTCAGATAGAGGTTTCTTGGAATTCGGGAGACACGTTAATATTGTTTCAAGACTTTTTCAGATAGAGGTTTCTTGGAACTCGGGAGACACGTTGATATTGTTTCAAGATATTTCTAAACTACAGTATCTTAGTGGTATATGGTGAAAATGGCGCTGAAAATAAAGCCTAAATTAAGAAATGACAATGTTTGCAGAAAAATGGTAAAAACCAGTTTATCCACACGCAAGTCTATGAAATATGGTCAACACAATAGCACTGCTCTGACAATAACTGCAACAATTGTAACTAGGTCTACTTGACTGCCATAGACGCAGGCAAACTAGTTTTTTTAAACATGCTTCTGCAAAAGGCCGCCATTTCTTAACTTGAGCTATATTTTCAACGCTGCTTTCACCATATTCGACCAAGATCTTGTAGTTTAGGAATATCTTAAAACAATTTCAACATGTCTCTTCAATTTTGAGAAATCGGCGTCTAAAAAAGTGTAAACTTTTTGGGGGGACCACCTTGTATGTGACTAATCTGCTTGGAAGCACAGACAAATGATACATACATGTTCAGCAATTCATCCCCTTCTAATCTTATCATACATGAGTAAATAACTTTTTTGAAAAAGAGGGGGAAATTGGAAAATTTCCTATGCATTTCTCACCGACGCGTAGCATACATGCAATATTCATGCTGTGCACACACGTGTAGTGGATAGCAAGTTGCGCATGACGTCACAGGACCACACAAACTGCCATGACCTATCTGGCGTGCTAACGAAACCTCTCTACTGGGAGCTACTTCCATTGAACAATGCCACAGCTATTGGCGATCTGGGATTTCAAAGGCACATCGATGCTACACATCCTAAAAAGTCATCCTTCGCACACACTTGGCGACAAGTTACAAACAGTCCCGGATTATCCAAAGTAGGCACCGTGCCTAGGGCCTCCGCAAAATTTGAGGGCCTACGAAAGATTTGAGGACCTACATAAATTGAGGGCCTACGAAAATACCACTGTGTGCCAATCGGCTTTTAGAGCTACCAGTTTGGCCTGGCTTGCTAATAGTACAGCTTAGCATCAACATGAAATTTGTGCCGGTGGCTAGGGCGGAGTAGGGCCTACGGAACACTGGGGCTTAGGGCCTACGGAACACTGGGGCCTAGGGCCTACGGAACAATAATCCGGCACTGGTTACAAAAATTGTCTGATAAAGTGATCTGTGAAAAGACCGAAGCTCAATTTTCTTGGGCTGAGCGAACTCACCTGATCATGCTGTCACAACCGTCGCACATCGGGGTGCGTCCCGCTGCCCCCGCGCCCCCTGCTGATGCCGCTGGGGCAGGGGGGTGTTGCTGGTACGCTGGCTTACTCATGGGGGCCGGGCGAGGGGAGGATTTGGCATAGGCTGGGGCGGGTGGGGGACCTGGAGTTGGGTTGAGAACAAGTATGAGAGAATGCCAGAATGAGACCGTGTGAAATATTAGATACACCATTTAGGGCATGTTATCGCTATACAAACCTTGAGGCCTCCTTTAATGGCAACAGTTAAGTGCTAGCTATTGTTCAGATAAGCATTCATCGGGCATTGCTGTGTACGATAGTATGCACCATGCTTTTACTATTGGATGTAAACTGATAGCCTGCATTTATTGGACTATAAACCAGTAAAGGAAAATGAATGTATCAATCCACACTACACAGCTGAGCATTGTGGTCATGTATACCGACTTTCAGCAAACTGCACATGTTTGTTTTGGCTGTTGGTTGCTAGTCAGCAAGCCGTCACTGGTGACACTAGGTCTACGTTTATTTATTGTATCAATTTTACGTGGTTGTCAGAGTTGTGGACAGGTCCATCACAAGTCAATCACAATTTAATCACAAGACCATCATAAGTCAATCACAAGTCAATCACAAGTCTATCACAAGTCAATCACAAGACCATCATAAGTCAATCACAAGTCAATCACAAGTCAATCACAAGTCAATCACAAGTCAATCACAGGTCAATCACAAGTCAAATCACCAGTCAATTATAGGTCAATCACAAGCCAAACACAAGTCAATCACAAATCAATCACAAGTCAATCACTACTCAATCACAAGTCAATCATAGGTCAATCACAAGTCAATCACAAGTCAATCACAAGTCAATCCCAAGTCAATCACAAGCCAATCACAAGTCAATCACTACTCAATCACAAGTCAATCACAAGTCAATCACAAGTCAATCACAAGTCAATCACTAGTCAATCACAAGTCAATCACAAGTCAATCACAAGTCAATCACAAGTCCATCAAATAAAGCATGAACCAGTCTTAATGCCACCTGAAAAACTGGCAGGCTGCCAACAAAAAAGCTCATGAACGCTTGCATGGGCACAGCCCTGATATGAAATTCCACCGGTTGCAGGTTCTACGCCTGGTTCAGTCTGTCAAACTTCACAATTAGGTTCAATAAAAGGACAAACCTCAGCACTAATAAATTTAGATAAAAGTGTCAGACAGTTGTTTTTTTTCGGCAGGAAATGACGCACGTTTCTTGATGATTTACTCCTTCAACGAGCGCTTCTCAACTGTGGCAGGATTAGATAGGGATTATATGGAAACAAATGGCGCGTCCTAGCCTTACCCTTAGTGGATGTTCAGGTTCATACCTAGCATATACTGATTGGAAGATATTAAGGACAAAAGGATTGAACTGGTACCCAAGTACGTACATGTACAAATGGTCAAAACAGTCTCCTGATGACGAACAGAGCATACTGTTCGAAACATCGAGTTCAACCAACTGGTTCTTCTCAGAACCACACAACTCGCTAAGAGATATCTTTCATTCGCATGATGTTACCGCAAACCTCCCATTCATTGATCATGTCCTCCACGCAAACCTTAAAGAGGTTGTGGAATGCTCGAAGACATTTCCGTCATTTTTCGGGTATATGTAGTCTAAGGTGTGATGAAATAAAAATGACTATTGTGTCTGTCATGAAATGAGTACAAAAGGTACTTTTGAGAGCTGTTTTTCAGGTCCTGTTTTGACCCGAACGTGCAATTTGTGTAAAAGTCGTCGTTGGGGGCAGCAAACAAAACATAGTAAATCATGACGTAACAAACAGGACGCGTTTATACAGTGTGCTACATCGGAGTCCTGTTAATAACATCACCTACTTACAAAACCTGGCACTTACAAACCGAGATTATTTAAGACATGGTTATAGCCCCCTCCTCATTTCACATATTTTTTTTAATAAACATAATTAACCTAATGACCCAACCGCACATCAAACGTTAATAATTAACTACAAGTTCCCTATATCCTGTCCAAGCTGGTCTCCAGAGGACTGTGAGGCTAGCCTACCTGGAGCTCTTGGTACTTGGCTGCTCATTGGGCGGGCTACCGGGTTGCTACGGGCCTGGCTGGCGATCTGACTTGGAGCCTGTTTGCTGTAAATGAGGCCAATGGGAACCGGGGAATAGGAAGGAACGAAGAAGCTCAATTAGTATTGTCTTGAATGAAAAAAACATATTGTCATATAGTGTAGTTGATGAACTATCCACTGACAAATATAAAGTGAAAAACAATAATTAAAAATTTGCTACATGTGTAAAAATATATACACAGAATATTTTTAAAAAGTCCATAAACTTGTTGAATTGACAAAGTCAATGTTAATATTCTGTGAATGAAACTCTTATATTAATGTTGGAAGCAAAAATCGATGGACAATATTACACAGAACTGGAGTTTTGACCAAAAAATAAGACATAAAGAAAATCTTTCAACAAAGCCATATCTTGCACAAGAACACTGGCATGATAAAACAAAATAATCTAAAAACAAAAACCTGGTAATAAAGACGTTGTAAAGACCCCAAACAAAATTGAGATGTCAACAAAGAAGCATTTTTACATCTGCTGCCTGATTTCACAAAGCGAAAGAAATTTTGGACCAAGAACATAAAATATAAAATAGTCCAAGTATTGCTTTGCCGTAAATGTAGTAATGTGGATTGGTCATGTGACTTGCGTCCTGTGACGTGTATTTGTCATGTCAGGTATAATGTTGCTGTAAATGTTAATAGTCATGTTACTTGCGTCATGTGACCTGTATTTGTCATGTCATGGTTCTGTAGCTGAAAAATTAAAAGTTCTTGAAAAAATGGTACCAAAATGAACAGCTCATAATTAATTTGATAACTATTAATGTGACATGACGTGGACAGATGTTTGATCTAAAAACAAAAGACATGTAAACTATAGTATACCACTGCTTTACAATGGGACACTTAAACAACAGAATGCATGTAGCAAAAATAAAAGACAAATATTTTTTTTTACCTTCCAGATTAAGCTTGAATACTGATGTATTTTTTTAAAGCAGAAATTAATTCCCTTGTCCAAAAATGAAAGCTAACAAACAAGAAAAACTACTGTCGATCAAGTCTTGAGGCGAATATAGAGTCTTAGAAGGGGCAAGTCGTTTTGTCCTTCGTTGAGCAAATTTGTTTAGACTGATGACTAAACATGTGGCCAGGTGATTGAGTTAAGTCTTTATGCTTAACTGAAAAATCATGCAAAATACGCATTGGCACTTTTTTGACACCTACATGTAATCTAATTTTGCTGAGTATACAGTGTTTATAAAAATACGTCGGTGAAGGGCAAAATCAAATATTGAATTTACATCACCCGACGCAAATTCCATCTTGTGAATAATTTGGTTGCGGTACCCACTGCTATTTCTGATTCGAACCAGCTAGCCGACCACGGCAAGCTCAGTGGTCGAGTGGTAAGAAGTCTGCACTAGTAAGCAGGAGGTTGTGGGTTCGAGTCCCACCCGAGTGATTTTTTTCTCACAATCACTCGGAACTACATTGAGTATACACAAGGGTGGATCCAGAACACACATTTTTTTGTTTGAGGGGGACCAAAACAAAATTTTGTTCCAGGAAAAGTTGATTCAAAAATTTACAGCATGGGGTTCGGGGCCCGCTTAAGGGCCCCGGAAAATTGTTGGGATTCTGGACGCTCTGTTGTGCGATCTGAGTCAATTTTTGACCACTTGAACCATTTTTTTTTGGGGGGGGGGCAAAAGATAGTGGTGTATGTATAATTGGCTGTCTTTTTTGCGACGTCACTTAAAAAAAAAAATGGGTGGCCAATGGCTCCCATTGGCCATCCCCCCCCCCCCACCCTGGATCCGCCGTTTAGTATACAGTGTTTATAAAAAATACGTCAGTGAAGGGCAACACCGGATATTGAATTCTATCTCATGAATGTTTTGTTTTTTATTTATTTATTTTAGCCATTTAGCCTGCTTATGATTGGCAGTAATTTCTTGTCCAAAGGCGGGGAGAAAATAAAACAAAAATAAAAAGCCATTTTTGGCTGCATGCTGAAAAACGTCTTGCCAGCCTTTGTTGCAGAAACTCAAACTGCTTGTAAAAAACTAGGTTTGATAACATCGCTATGACAAAACTACTGCTACTGACACAAATATAGCAAAAACAAAACTACTAGGACTGGAACTATTTCAACATAACTAATTAACGATTAAGTTGACTGAGACAATTGTGTTAATGATTCAATTACCCAGCCATATTACTAGGAAGGAACATCACTTTGACACCGTCATCTGGAGCACTGGAGAAGAGAAGTCGGTGAGTGAGAAACAAACAAACAAACGCTCAAAAATATTGAAATACAGAGAAATTAGGTCATTCAAATCCATGGCAACCTTGGAAATGAAACATGAGGCGGGCGGGGCTCAGGGAGAGCGGGGAGGGGCAGGGTGGGGCGGGGGGGGGGGGCTTCTGAAGAAAAATGAAGTCTGAATTTTTCCTGCAGAACAAGAATTATATAAGAATTTCTATTTTTACTAAAGCTCATTGATACCGATAGGCAAGTTTCATTTAATTCTCATTATATTCCCTGTATCAATCAAAGTTATGAGGTTGGTTTAAATTTGGTAAGCAAGATTTGAGGCTTTGCATGGTGGAGATACTAATGGCTGAAGAGTTTGCAGAAACACCATGTGCGAATAATTTCTCAACCTAAGATAATGGTTCTGAAAAGAACCAGAGGTATAAAGTCGACGTTCCAGTCAGTATGCTCTGACCTTCTCCAGAAGAGTGCTTAAACTCTTTCTTAGAGTTGAGGCACTCTCCGTAAGACAGTCAGAGCATACTGACCGGAACGTCGAGCTTACACCTCTGGTTCTTTTCAGAACCATTCTCTTACATGTAGGTTGAAAAAATTATCCCACATGGTGTTTCCGCAAGCTTTTCATTCTTTAAATTTGGTGTCAAATGCTTTTGTGCAACTGCTTATATCTAAAAGATAAGTTTGTTGCTCATAGCTTTTGTTCATAACTTGCCATCGATGAAACATGCAAGCAAAGAATAAATATTGACCAAATTTTACTCTTCATGATGAGCTACATAATACATATTTTTTGGAATTCTTGGCTATATGGAAGCTTCGCAGGATGAATTTTAAATGACTTTTTCTTGTGTTTCTCCTCGTCTACATTCTTCTTACAAATGGGTGATGGCCAATTCGAGCAATGCTTTAAAAACTTTAAGGAGATATATCAAGTTGCATTTTGGCTATATAGAGTCACTTCAGAAGGGGAAAAGGAAATTATAGAGGGATGAAACTCAGGAAAGGAGATGGAAAAGTCACTGCCAATAGGGTTCAAACATTCCAGTGATTGTAGATTGTTCAATTGTACTTTTTTTCTGTTTTTTCCTTTACCTTTCGATTTTCAGCCTATAGTCTCAAATGAAATGATGCACAAAATGGAAATTTTGTGGGAAAATTTCCTATTTCAATAAAAATTTGTGTGAACACTAATGGCAAAGACAGCAAAATGAATACAGAATTTACACTGAAGTCAAAATTTTAATTAAAACCACGGAAAGAAAATCAGTTTGATTATAACATTTGAAGAGCTGAATCAAACTATCATTCCAAAAAGTGGAAAGTGTTAGTGGTTCATTAAAATGCTGTGGTTAGACTAAATAAACAAAGAAAATTATTTGCCAAATGGGCCTAGAACAGCAAGCTGTTGAACATACAGTTATATAGTTAGTTTACTTATTACATTTTTGCTCTGTTGTTTGATGCAATATAACAATACGGGTGAGTCCAAAAAAAAAGAAATCCAAATGTCAGGACAATTGTTTTAGTGAATTCTGCATGTAGCACTTTCAAAATCTAGGATATGAAAGCCCAATTCATAAGCCTTCTTTTAGTACAAGAATCATTCAAATCACTCATGTACTTTTCAAGTTACAGAGTTTTAAACACAACCACCGTTTTAAGGTTCTGTCCACGGATCACACAAAAGGTGTGTTCTTTCAGCGAAACAAAAACAATTCACACACATCCTTATGTGATTTGTTTTCGTTTTGCTGAGAGAACAACTGATCTTTTTGGTGATTCGTGGACAGAACCTTAAAATGGTGGTTGTGTTTAAAACTCCGTAACTTGAAAAGTACATCAGTGATTTGAATGATTCTTGTACTGAACGAAAGCTTATAAATCGGGCTTTCATATCCTAGATTTTAAAAGTGCTACATGCAGAACTTCACTAAAACAATGGTCCCAACATTTGGGTTTCGTTGTTTTTGACTCACCCTGTATTTACAAAGGTTCAGGCAATCATCAGAACAAGGCATGGTGTAGCTTGCTAACAATAATCTTAAATGGGTTAAATAGTTGTGGATTAGTAAACTGTACAGGCAGTTCAGACAGATATATAAATTAATACAAAACATAGCTTGGATCAGAAATACATGTTGATGAAGCAAGATTTGTTTAACCCAACAAAACCCTTCATACCCCATAGAAATTCTGTGAAGAAGCATACTGATTCCAAGATAACCCCTAAAAGCAAAGCATGACACCCATTCATGTACAGAATCCTTCAAAATCCAACAAAAGAATTGGAACTTGTTGGATTACAAAAAAAAACCATCAAAATGGGCTATTCAACAAAACTTAACAAGGGGTAGGAAAAATCTTACAAAATCCTACAAAATCCAATAGCTTCAGCAAAATGTCTCATCTGTTGACTGCTCTCATCCATAAAAGCCAACAGCACATTTCAGTCAAGATTGATGGCAACAGAGGCCAAGTTCGCGCAAGGACTATAGTTGACCAATGGTTAACCATAGTTCGACTAACGCTTGCCTGAACTCTGTCCAGTCGACGATGCTTGACTACGCTAGTCGACTATTTGGAACCAACCTACTGGGGCTGGTTGCATCGCTGGTAATCAATAGCTGCGCGCATTCATAACGCTAGCAGAGAGCCAGGATCCAGAAGTTTTGCGATGACATTTTGACCAGCATTTGACTAGAGACGTTCGCACGTTGCTATCAGTGCGCAGGCGTAAGGTACGTCACAAATCAACCACTAGTCGACTAATGGTCCTTGCCCGAACTTGGCCAGAGTTGTAGTTGAGTACTCTTCTATGAGCTTGAGTATGAGTACTTATCTTGCCATGGGTACCGGTACGAGTGCTTAAGTACAGGTAGTTTTTTCCTGCGAGTACCAGTGTGAGCATGTATACATTCTCATTAATACGAATACAAGTACGAGTATAAAAACTGTCCTAAAGTATGAGTATCATGAGCAATACAGCAATGGATGGTAGCTTTCAGAGCTCTCTGAGAAGATAGAAAAGGTGTTGACGAGAAAAAGCAGGATGCATTACAAGTAAAATATGATTGGAACGTTGAAGACCAATAAACAGGCCCAAGTGCCTACGCCAACCAAATCACTGCTTGTTTGCCCTCAGTTTTTTCACTTTAGAGTGAATTTTTTAGCTCTTGAACTTGAGGGTTTGTAACAAGCATGGATGCTCTGAACAACGATAAACGACTCATCTGGGCTTATATGTACGGTACAAATGTACGGAACGGTTTGTCTACTTGCGTGATATGCCAAGTCGGTGCATAGAACAACGAAGAGAACATGTAGAACAATGCGCGCATGCAATGATCGCAGACAGCTGGCATCCTGACAGAAATTTGACCACTGAAAGACGTGCACTGAGTCTCGCGCACGCGCACGCACAAGCGCACACCTCCAAAAGGGGTCATTACACAGCACCCTCAAGAGTTTTGTGCCATCAAAACAACATTCGATGACAACAATAGTTAGGTACAGTAACCATACGGAAGAGCTTCTGAACTATTTGAAGAAATTTTGTTGAAGAAAAATCCATACCAAAATGATGGACATGATAAATTGACACTACCCAAACAAAAAATGATATTACAAACTGGTGTTCAACATGAATGAAAACGAAAGAACATCAGCTTCAGTGACTTACCACCAAAAAAAATGACTTGAAAGTTGAAATGTTCTGTGATTTTTGTTTGTCAAATATGCAAAATTTGGCAATAAACCCAATACTTGAGTTCAAAGGAGAAAAACACCCCAAAAAAGCTGCTCTTACAGATTGGCATCTAAAGGGGACAGAGGGAATTTCATGCAGGAAGCTTAGTGTTGCATGCTGACACTGTTTAATGTGGAGAAATCTACACCATAACATATCTATTAAAGTTGAACGGATCCTATGATATCTAATAGGCAATTCCACGGTTACTCACGTTACATTTTTGATGTACTTTTGAGTTTCCTTGGGCTGTAATTACCTTACTGAAAAGATTTAATAACTGTTAACATGGTAGATAGAGTAGACCTAGACCTACATGTACCTAAGCATCCACAAAAATGTGTTATGTATGATAAACAAGACCGCAAAATCGGTTACTCATGTTACGAAAATGTAATGTGAGTAACCGATTTTGTGCATCTTGTTTATCATACATAACACATTTTTCTGATGTTATCTTTGGTGCTTAGGTAGGTCTAGGTCTACTCTATCTACCATGGGGATAACAGTTATTAAACCTTTTCAGTAAGGTAATTACAGCCCAAGGAAACTCAAAATGTAACGTGAGTAACCGTGGAATTGCCCTAATGGTCTATACTGTAAGGAACCATAGGAATCTATCTACAATGTACCTGCACATACTAACAAGAAACAAATGTGGGCCCACGTATGACACTGGATAATGAGAACGATCACAACGAACCAGCAATAGTTGGTACGATGCAGATATTGATATACTAGAGAGCTAAATGAGCAGTACACAATTTAGGCCGTCTCCAAAACGGACTTCCAGAGCTATACGTCTACATCTATTGTCAGCGCGTCCCCGCGTATTTTCAATGGGCGCACACCTAGATCTAGCTCTAGACAGCTGATTTGGATACAGCCTTAAGCCCGGTTCATACTTCATGTGAATGCGAATGCGAAGCGAATTTGACGTCATGAAACATTCGCTGCGAAATTCGCCCGAGTTGAAATGTGTTCAACTTTTGCGAATCCGCAGCACCAATACTTGCCATGACGTCACAAATTCGCGTTCGCTCTCGCGCCGAGTATGAACCGGGCTTTAGTCTGCCGGACACTTGCACGTTTGCGCACAAATTTGCACTTGAGGCTTTTGTCCGACTATCTGCATCTGCATCTTAGTATTTGAAATTGTTGCATCAATGAAGCTGATATGCCCAAAACCAAAAAGCACAATCAGTCTATGAACGTTTCAGTTAGCTCTGCGCAAACAGTGCACAAATGTGTATACGTGTATGTGCTTCAGAATTTGTTTGCTTCTTCATACTTAAACCACGGCTTGTATAGAATGTTTAGCTACTTTTGTCGTACTCTTGAGCTGTATTAAGAGCACACTGCTGAAATTTCCTTAAATCTTTTTTCCCAATATGTTCTTAAAAAATCACACACAACGCGTAAGATGCTTCCAAAAGTTTTCTATGAGAGGGAATGTAGAGTTATAGCAATATAGTAATTTAATAAAACTTTTTGGTATATGGCATCCAAATTTCCCGAATCCTACAAATCCTTTCTCGGAACCTATGGATTATATGCTTGATCCTATGGAATACATTGTTGCATTCTTTCAATCCTTTCCCTAATTCCGTACAGATCCCATTTCAGAACACACAGATACTACAGATCCCATAGCCAACATTCATCCCATACAGAATATCGGAAATCCCATATCAGATCCCATACTTATATCAACAAAAACCACAGTGGATCCCATGTCGGCAACCATAACCCAAACAGTTGACACAGTAACAATTCAACATATAAAAATTAATTCTCAAAATTTTAAAAATACCTCAATTTGCTTTTCCTTCTTTTGTATCACACATTTGTACAAATAGGATCCTTCATCCAAAACCGTGATTGTAAGTTTATTATATTATTTAATGTTAACAAAGCGAATGACCGTGTGCAGCCTATATTTTCAGCCATAATGTTACATACACCCATGCTACAATTGAACTGACACAGATGCTGAGCTATACGAACTTTATTCGACAACTGTACGTGTTACACAACTTCTACAAATGCACATTATCAACCGACAATGGAAAAGAATTAATAACTGTGACACTAAAAATTACGAACGGATGTAAAATTCTCTACCTGCATGCTAGATAATGTGTACACACAAAATACATGTAGATATATGGATGTCTGAAGGGATTGGCAAAGCAACCAATCAGAGAACGACTTTTGGAAAAGAAAAGTTGGACCAACCAATCAGGTGCAGTGTACCAAAATGTACCAAAATAAGCTCTGAACAACAGTCACTATAGCATTAACATGGACTGTGATTGGTTTATTATTAGTGATCAAGTGGAGAATAAATTTCAGTTATTACTTCTGATTTGGATTGATTGCTACCATGGAAAAGGTCCAACCAATCAGAGTGCGACTTTTGGGAAAGAAAAAGTTGGACCAACCAATCAGGTGCTGTGTACCAAAATTAACTTTTAACAAAGTCACTATAGCAGTATCATGGTTTGTGATTGGTTTATTATCGGTGATCATACGAGGAATAAATTTCAAATTTTCTTTCTGATTTGGAATGAACGCTACCATGAAAAAAGTCCAACCAATCAGAGAGCGACTTTTGGGAAAGAAAAAGTTGGACCAGCCAATCAGGTGCAGTGTACCAAAATCAACTCCTAACAAAGTCACTATAGCAGTATCATGGTTTGTGATTGGTTAAATATCGGTGATCGTGTAGGGAATGCATGTATTAAAGTTATTACTTATGTGGATTGATTGCTTATTGACAATCCCTTAAGACACATTGTTATAAGTCATGAATCTAATGAATAGGTGAAGTTAGAGAATAATGGAGACATTCTTTTAAAAAAATGTGAAACCACTTCAATCGGAGTAAATATTTGAGGGGACCATTTTGTTACCCTGGCTCCCGTGGGTATCTCTGTAGAGGACTCGTGGGGCTCTCGGGCCCCATTTTTATTTCGTGTTTTACCGTTTCGTCTACTGTGAAAATAGGCACGATACCCTGACATCTGTGGGGGGAGGGATGAAAATATGAATATGCATCAGCTGTTTAGAAAATTATGCAAAATTATGCAGATTCAAATAAATATGTCAAACTGCTAGTTCAAATGAATCTTCCTCTAAAATCAGAATAGCTTAGATTTTTACTTTGAAACAAATTTATTGTGAGACAATTTTCTGAAGGAGCAGCATGTGATTTGACCCCCATTTTGAAATAAAATCGGAAAGTTTGCATAATTTAATGCAAATTACTATTAAGTTTTTACATTTTTAATTTTGTTAGCTGTTCGGCCAATAACCATCTGATAAATTTTCTATTACATATCGGTAAAGCTGAAATTTGGGCAAGTTAATGGTGTTTTTCTATAATTGTGTCTCACTTCACGAACTTAAAGATGTAATGTCTATTCTTTAAAAAATAACCTTAAATTCCTCCAAACATGTGTTAGTTTAAAGAAAAAAAATGCTTTGAAATATGGTTTCTTTGTGTGTTGCTTTTGCGCACGAATAGACCCCCCTGTGAGTAGACTGGTCCCATTCCCTACAGGGCCCCCAAACTTTCAGAATTGTTGTTCAATGTTCATATAGACTAAATCAGCGAAGAATATTAGAAGCCATTTATGAGTTGGAACCACGTCTGCGCGCATTCCGCACATGTTCTTCAAGATAAGGGGCACGCGCATGTTGGTAACCATATTGGTTAAAGGAACCCAGAGTGTGTGCGTAGTACCAGCACCCGATTTCACGAAGCGCTGCGACGCGTCGCAACGCGAGTTACGACATGTAACACGTCGCAACTGGCGACGCGTCGTATCATCCATTTCACGAAAGTTGCGATGTGTTGAACGCGTCGTAAGTTCCTTGACAATGGCTTAAAGCACGTCGCAAGTTACGACGTGTCTAGTGGTCATCACAAAATAAGAAGAGTCTCTTTCTTAGCCAGTTTAATACCATAAACATTACCTAAACGAGATTATAATACCGAAGCAATGTATGTAAAGTTGTAAATAGAAAATTCATTGAATAATTATGAATTAGACTGGAATATTGCAGTTGAAATTTCAAAGTAGCTATACAGTCCACTGAGAGCTTGTTTTCCTTCAAAATTGAATCGCACGGCCGCCATTTTGTTTTACGTTTTAACAAACTTCGAGCAGAAATCCGATGACTCTTTTTTGAATATCAGACGACTATTTACTGTATGCTGACTAAATACATAAAACAGTCACTGAGTTGTGCTATAAATACACCTACGACGCGTTGCACTTATGACATGTTTTGTGAAATGGATCGCAGGACGCGTCGCAACTGCGACACATTGTAGAGATACGACGTGTCGCATCGCTGCGATGCATCGTAAGTGACGAAGAGTTTCATGAAATCGGGTGCTGAGGGCAAGCCTGGTTCCACCTCAAAAATTGGCGTCTACTTGTTTTGCCCAATTAGTCTATACTAAACTTGTGATGAACTTGTGAAGATTTGTAAGGACTAATGTGTGGACTGGACCACGATTCTGAATATAACGTACGACTTGACCGCTCCTGGGTTCTGGGAAAGAGCCTTGGCAATGATGGCGTTGGGATCTTCCCTCTTGGGAGGCTGGAACCGGGATCTGTACATTGGTATCACAGGCGGCCTGGGAGGCGGTGGCTTGACAGGAGACGGGCGTGGCTGTCTCGGTCTTCACACAGACACACACACGGTGGATTGGAGACAAGCTTGGTTATTAATGAACTTTTTTTCAATGAATTAACTGGCAGCATGAATATGCAGTATGAGTTTCTGAGAGATCTGACATCAACAGTAAGTATTTCAAGCTCAGATCGGGGGGAGGGGGGGGGGCCTTGAAACCATCTGACAACAGGGGCACGTTTTGGTGCTGTGACCGTAAACATGTTTCTGGTTCGCGGCCGTTTTGGCGCTTCGGTTACACTGAAATGACGTCATTGTTTCGACCAAAGTTGAACCGAGGTTTCCGGTCGGTTCACTTATGTTTCAAGATGGCAGAAAGGTGAAGCTCAGCAGACGATGTTACTTTTTACCATAAATGGGGTTTAAATAGTGGGTTTTTACCTTCAATCAAACCTCCCACTTTTGCTTTGAATGTTATTGTTAATCACGTCCAGTCGCCGTGTGTTTTTTAGGGGGGTTGTGTGCAGTCACGTAGGCAGTAACATGACGTCATGAACAATTTTCTGGTCAGTCGTTTTCGTGGTGCACAGGAAACATGTTTCAGGTCACGGTTGTGACGTCAGAAACATGTTCCAGTTCAAGGGCCGCCAAAACGTGCTCCAGGAGTACTGTTTAAGCGGACTGGACACTATCTGACAATAGATGGGGCTATTGCTAATGGCAAATCATGCCAAAAGACACACGATTTTGCTGACAGGACTTTTTTGCCATCAAAGTGCATAACGAGGGTGGAGGTCGTAAATGTCAGATCTTTTCAAACCCTTCATACAGTGGGTTTTTGTTTTCTTTTTGTGCAACATTTGTTTAGCGTTACAATCCTTAACACTGAATCATTCTCATATATAGTGTAATTTGCATTATAACACCTCACCCACAGATTTTGTGTCTTGATTGGCCGAGAGCGAGTCACATGATACTTTCTATTTTTGCTATCTTTCTGTGCACGGCCAAAGTACTATACCCATAGCAACCAAAGTACTACACCATTAGCAACCAAAGTACTATATTCATGGCGCGGTATTTGTGTGCAAATGCATACTGCGCTGGTGTGCGCGTTGCGCGTAGCGCGTATTGTTCCAAAGAGAGCGCGCCGCAGAGTTGGGTTTAAACATTTCGTGAAGGGGTATGTATCGAAGAGAGAAATACATTTTCCACCAACTTTGTATTGAAATTGAAGTTTATTTCAACTGTGTTCAGATTTAAATAATCTAAAATATTAAAACCAAGCAGAATCTGTGGGTGAAATGTTATAAAACAAATATTGAATGCTTTATCTCGTGGTGAAGTAAAACTAGCCTCCCTCGGTGATCCATGGAACATTTTATTTTCCCGAGGCGAATAGAATGTCCATGGATCACCTCGGGAGGCTAGTTTTACTACACCACTCGAAGCATTCAATATTTGTATAATATGTAGTACACAGGGGCAAATTTAATGGTGCTGCTAAGAAAATCGAAACCCTTTCAAAAAAAAGTGGTATGCACATCAAAGAGCATACATAATCCACAGCCTGAAATTGCCATGAAAAGCTATACCGTCCCAATGCATGCACAGACATTGGTACACAAATCACGTCATCCAAGCAGCTTTTTTTCTGTAATATATGGATGAACGTTCAACTGACAGTTGAGCAGTACAATCAAACTTTGCCCTGTTTTCTGAACTTGAACTTCAAAATCTAGCACCAGAAGTTGCCAGGGAAGACTGAATATGACTCACAAGGCCACTCAGTAATTGATTTCTTCCATGTAAGTGTGGTTTTCTCTCTGACAGAAAATACGTACATGAATTTCTAAAATCAGAAAAGCATTCAGCTTCTGGCATTTGTAAGCTCAAATCTTAAGTCATATGAAGAATGCTAAGTATGTAGACACTATAAAATGTTAAGAGAAACCAAATATGTGGTTGCAACGGACTTACGTGAACTTCTTCAAAAACTCAGCTGACGAAGTTGTGCCGCCCAACAGGGCCGCGTTCCCTCAGAGCAGAAAAGGAGAACCCCCTTTTTTTAACGGTGAACACGAATGGCGGCTCGCGATACCAGCCTATGGCTTCAACACTTAAGATAGACCAGTCAGGGAGGAAGACATACCAGAATTTTCTCGGGGTGACGTCACCGATTGGGTTCTTCCATTTTTGCTCTGAGGGGCTAGCCCCAAATTGGACAGTAAAAATCATCAGCAAAACCAATTTCTCGGGTTGTGCAAATATTACTTCTACTTAATTGTTCATACAGATTTCGTTATCAATCATTTATAACATGACTACGACAGTTTGAACGCGTTAAAATACAAAGTAACGAAAATGCACATTAAAGAAAAGTAGAACATCAAAAATTTAGACTGACCAGTTTTTAACGAGGTGTATCTTAATTACTACATTTACTGATTATAAAAATAAGCTTACATGTAAATTAACATCTTACAAACATAAAAACAAATATAAGTGTTGTAAGACATAACAAAACACTTTGAAAGCTTTTCTTTTTCTTTGAGTGAATTAGGGAGACCATGCAAGCATTCCATGAATGCTAGGCATGCAAGCTGGCGGTACACGGGGTTTGCATGCGCGGGATAAACACTGTACTCCCTACACGTACGCTGACGGAGAACTAACTCATCTGAAACCCGTAGCCCTTTTAAGGTATTTTGCCGCTCAAAAAAGTGCAGAAAATCTTCCTGAAATACCGCAGTCATTGACAAATAACGTTTTCATTGCAATCTATATTTTCCATTTTAGACTCTTGTTTTGTTTGCTTTTTTGTGATTCCAATATGAAGGATTATTTGGGCACTTTAATTTCTTTTGTAAAAAAGGAAAAGGATTTTTGTAAAGAAGTTTTGGCTACTAAACCATCTTCTAACATGTGAATTTCCGCCTTAATATATCTCTCGTCAAATAATAGCGTTATCACTGAATTAATTGTCACAACTTTTTAATTGGCATGAAATTTGGGCAGATGTCAACAAATAGTATAAGCTAATTAAAGCATTTTGTGAAAAAAAATGTAGCACGGACATGGTGTGAAACATGCTGGTTAAAGAACTACCCCCCTTCCCAATTCTGACATAGCTCCGCCTCTACACATTTTGAATGTCCCAATATATAAGGAATACCGTACCAGCGTGACATTTCTATCCAGACAATTACAGCCCATCCCTGAGCCCGAAACGTAATCTCACTGCATAATCTCTCCAAGAGAATGCTTTGAACAGACCTGGGTATGCTAGATTCCTCGCCAGGGCTTCGTGTGTTTAATGTCTCATTGACGGATTGCAATCAATGGCACAGTTGTCTAAATAAATAACTGGGTTTTGATGCTCCCAGTTCACATGATTGATATTATTTTTTTTCAAATATGAAGTAATGACATTTCCTCATTATTTAAACTCAGAGTTAAAATGGTGATGATGTGAATCTTTATGCACTTCCATTAAATTTGGGAAAAAGTCCTGTACACCATTAATGAGAACAGAAACACTAAAATTTTGTTTGTAAAAAAATTTAACCTCAAAGTTCTCACAAGAAGCCTAGATTATTAAACATTTTAGAAGGAAATATGTTTCACTTTTTGGCGTGGATATCATTTTCAGGACATTTCACCTTTTGCCAAACTACTTCATGTTCATCAATGGAAGATAAAGAGATGCCAAAACTAACTTTTGGAGGGAAAACGGAACAAGAAAATGAAAATGCTGGAGACACAAGTAACAAAAGAGGTTTTCTTGAAAGAAAGTAGTGACCAAGAACTGGAGGTTCAGCTGCTGAGTCAACAGTTCTAGTTTTTTTTTCTACAAAACTTTTATCTTTTATCCCCTTACTTCTCCCAATGACTTTGGTTGGTTGGACCATGGACGCGCAGTACAAAAATACCGTGAACTGTTGCTTGTGGTACCATAACTTCCCACCAAAATATGAGAGATCAAGAATTTAAGTTAAATAAATTACAAATGAACTTTACACGGCCTATACAAGTTCCATTTTATACACCGTCAACTTGTAAACCTTCCAAATTGGCTCTTTCAGATAGCTTAAAAATTGTGGGTTAAAAATGAGCACACTTATCATTCCTACAATATTTTGATATGCAGTTATTTTCTGGTACTTTTTTTAGTTTGTTAAAGCGATAGTTGTAGGAAGCAAGATGTTAATAATTGAGGGCATTCCATTCCTTTGCGGGGAAGGTCGCTGAGGGAAAAAGACAGCATTGGATTATTCTTCCAAACTTTAAAGGTACTTTTTGACTTTTAAATGTTTATCCTTGAGGAAAGTAAAAATATCTTGATTAACTCCTTTTTCACACGGCGGGTGTGAAACACGCCGTGGACTCATGTTGATTGGTTGGTGGGTGGGTTGGGTGGTGGACAGTTTACTCGGCTTTGCTTCTGAAGGCCGGTTTTGATAACACTGATGCGCATGTATCTAATTTGCATATTTCTGCATATTAGATCACGCCCCATTCGTTTTCGTTTTCTGTACTCTTGAGGTACCGGTAAGGCCCGGGTGCGCGCACGGTCTGTGACGTAAGCCGTCTTCACACGTTACCCGGCCGCTATGGGTTGTTCCACTAGGAACTTGTTAAAATCCATTGGCAGCTTAGACCATCAAGGCATATTCTCATGAAACAATTAACACCCCCCCCCCAAAAAAAATATTTCTTATGATTCAATGCACTATTAAAATTAAAGACAATTTATACAATTTAACCATAACTACATATTTGGATGATACTTGCGAAACTAAATTTGACTCCAAAGCAAGCCTTGTAAAGCCGGTCCCAGAGAGCACAAAATTCTCTTTATTCGGAATGGTTATTCACTGGAAATCTTTTCAATGCATGCGACATACACAATAGGCTGGATTGAGCCCATTCATTGGCGTAATTGGATAATCGCATATCAGACTTTTGGGCCAAGGCGAGACTTAAAGGCAATATACAACATTTGCAAACATCAAAAAACAAAACTACCAAATTATCATGAAATGACTTACTGGACTGTTAGTGAATGACAGTCTAAAGCACCCTGTAAATCATGGCACCTGGTGTGCTGACATTTTCAAGAAAAGTGCAATTTTTTTATCAATTTCCAATGATGGTCGGCTGACCATCGTTGGGAAAAAAACTGGAGTTTTTCAAATACCGGTACTGCCCCCAAATTACCACATTTTGTTTGCAATCGGTTGCACATCCATGAATGGGTGCAAGCCAGCTAGTCTGGTTTCCAGACCTAACGATTCCCCAACGTCTATAAAGCAGTCCATTTCGTCTGAAGTAGTCAAGGAACCAGACCACAAGGCCAGCACTTTTTTCCTGGTTTCTCCAGCATCTTTGAACACAAAACTTTAAATAGGCCAGTGTAGCAATATTTGCTATAAAATACTAATCCCCAATCCATAAATTTCTGAAAATCACAGCAAAAGCGAATGTTGTATATTCCCTTTAAGCAAGTCTAATTCACAAGTGACGGGGAGTCAGTCGGTCAATCAGTCAGTTGGGTACAAAGTGGACCATAGGCTGGCCTCCTGGGACCAGTAAAAAATGAAGTAATGTGAGCTGGTAGGCAGCTACCCGGAGTTCGGATTAACATCACATGCACGCGTGTTTTCTGAGGAAAAACCTTTCGTTGATTAAGACAAATTTTATTCCTAAATGATTTGGTTTTCTTCAAATACTTGACAAATGGTGGACACAGATGGGAGGAATTGGGAGAATTCCTGTCGTCTTCCACAAGAAAAAAAAATACACGTACTCCCTTGGAGGAATTTATGTATGTATGACCTTAAAATGGCAGATGAAATTAAACACAGGCAGAACGGAGTGTGAGAAACAAAATGGGTTGAATTTCTTGAATATATCACAGAAGAGTAGGATCCTTTTAAGTAAAGACGGTTTTGTAAAGCCAATGATACCAGAAGCGAATTTAGCTAGTGTACTTGCAGAGAAAAATATTGGATACATTAATGAATGTTTTGAATAGCATCGTTTTATACATGTAGCGTGCTATCATGCATTCTGTATATGGTCATTGCACTTTATGTTACATGATTTAATGATGAATAACGTTCCGCCGATGAAATTTTTTTTGCCGTGAAGTCTTTAATGTTAGCGATGAATCATAATTTTATTTACAATATCTGCAAAAATGAAAAGGTGAGGTACATGTACATGTACATGTAAAAGTGAAGATTATTTCGTTCACGTTACACACAGGACTTGACCTTAGCAAAAGGTCATCGCCTCGGCAACTGGTCAACACACCGATAACCATGATTTAAAATTACAACAGTCAGCAGTGTGTGGTGCATGATTCAAAAGTTGATGATTAAAAATCGTCAGAAAGTGTGGAATAACTGCAACATCTTCACTGTAACAGAAACATGCTGAAATAAGAGTACAATGAAACAAGTGCAAGTGCACAATAAGCTCTGGCCATCTTGCATGAAAGTCTTGCATGAAATCGATCAAAATGAACCCTGCCAGAGCTCAAAAATGCGACGCCGAAAAAATGCGACGTCATGGCACATATGGAACACCATACTTTCGGTAAATTGTCCGGGGACAGACAGACAGGACCGACCTACCACCAAGCGACAAAAAGATAGTTGAGCAGCAAATTTGATGATTTGTCTTTCAAAAGCATAGCCCATGAGTGAAGAATCAGTCCAACAATATGGAGTTCAGCTTATGGTTAAAAGAATTAACGTAACTATTTCTTTGAAGTTTTTGTCCTGCACCTTCTGACAAGATTATGCAGCCAAAGTCCCAAACTCTCTTCTTTAACCAGTTTGCGTGCGATCCCGCAAAGGTTTTGTGGTATTCGGAACGGATGGTGGGTAGACACACAGGGAGCGAGGCTGGAATTATCCGCCAGCAACCCGCTCGCAGTGAGCGAGGCCGGAAATATGAGCGTGCTGCCTAAGGGTGATGGCTTCAACCCGATGGCGTGAGGTCCAGTGAAAAGTAATCCTGCGCCTCGCTCCCTTCTTATCAAAATCTACCGGCGCGAACTGGTTAAAAAGAGGTCATGACTCTGAATTAGTCTGTGAAATCATAAATGGAACTTTTGGAGAAGGGAAAAAGCGTTCAAAGTTGGACTTACTTGTCAACAACTGGCGGAGGAGGTGCGCTATATTGATGAACTGCTGGCGGAGGGGGTCCGCTCCGCTGATGAGCTAGTGGCGGAGGCGGAGGGGGTCCGCTATGTTGATGAGCTGCGGGGTGATGGGCCGCAGTTGATGATCCATTGGTGTAGCTTCCTTGTGGCCTGAAACGTAAACGGCAAAGGAATCCTTCCCAGTACACACACACAGAATGGTTCATGGAAACTTCTCAAAAATTGGTCATGAGTTTTCAATTCAAGCAAGAAAGCGCCTCACTTCTGTTTACGTAAATTTGTTTATTAGCACGATTGTGCATATATCTAATAGAGACAAGACGACGTGCAACGGCAGATCTAGAGAGGGGGGGGGGGGCGAAAGGGACCTCACAAGTGAAAAATTGCCTTATTTGAGAACATTTCGGTACTTGCCAAGGGGGGGGGGGGGTGTAGGGGGCACCCCTCTCCCCCGGATCCGCCACTGTCACACTAGTAACACAATTTATTCACAATTCTGAAGTAACACAATTCTATTCAGATGATTGAGAATGGTTCATGGAAGTGAAACATCCACTTTTGCCGTACTCAAAGAGACTTGAGTTATTGTCTTCACATGTATGTCAGTGAGAGACTTATAGCAAGTCTAATTTACATGTACAAGTGACAGTTAGGTAACCAGTCGAATTCAACGTGCCAGTCATTCAGTGAGATAGGTAACCAGTCAAATTCAACGTGACAGTCATTCAGTGAGATAGATATCCAGTCTAATTCAACATGACAGTCATTCAGTGAGATAGGTAACCAGTCTAATTTAACATGACAGTCAGTCAGTGAGATAGGTAACCAGTCGAATTCACAAGTGACAGTCATTCAGTAAGATAGGTAACCAGTCGAATTCAACGTCACAGTCATTCAGTGAGATAGGTAACCAGTCTAATTCACAAGTGACAGTCAGTCATTGAGATAGGTAACCAGTCGAATTCACAAGTGACAGTCATTCAGTGAGATAGGTAACCAGTCTAATTCACAAGTGACAGTTATTCAGTGAGATAGGTAACCAGTCGAATTCAACGTGACAGTCATTCAGTGAGATAGGTAACCAGTCGCATTCCCAAGTGACATCATTCAGTGAGATAGGTAACCAGTCTAATTCACAAGTGACAGTCATTCAGTGAGATAGGTAACCAGTCTAATTTAACATGACAGTCAGTGAGATAGGTAACCAGTCAAATTCAACGTGACACTCATTCAGTGAGATAGGTAACCAGTCTAATTCACAAGTGACAGTCATTCAGTGAGATAGGTAACCAGTCGAATTCAACGTGACAGTCATTCAGTGAGATAGGTAGCCAGTCAAATTCACAAATGAGAGTCAGTCAGCATGAAAAGGGTATAATATATACACAGGTTCTTGCTAGTTCTCAGATATAAGTTGCACGTGCATACAACAAAAGCCAACAAGCCACTGTACCAATCACCCGACACGACACAAAAACTGTAACTTTGAAAGTTACGGGTCCAACACATCAAAAGACAAAAATTCAAAACTGACACATAACAAAAAAGGATGACTGTTGATTACGACCATCTTCAGGGTAACAATCCATTACATGTTTAATTCCCACACAGGCAAAATTGTCAATAAGCTCTGCGAAATGCAAAGCCTTCTCTTGGCATTGATGACAAAGGACACACCGCCCTCAGTTGTTGATGCACTATGAAGAAAGATATTATAAGGAAACCTAGCATATAAACCCCATCTATATTTCTAACAAGGTGAAGGAAATCATTTTAAAGTTGAACAAAGAAATTGACTTGAGCGGAGTTTGAACCTTCGACCCCTGGATTACCGTTCCGGTGCTCTACCAACTGAGCTATCCAGCCCTATGTTGGCTGTTCCCCATTATGTCAATGTCTTTGTTCAAGGGGCGCTAGTCAGAAGCCATAAACCCTATGCCACGTAGCCAGGGATCACACCCAAAGTGACGATGCTAGCAACATTAGCAATGCTGCAAACCCAGGAAATAGCAAACGGGATCACTCAGACATAATACAGCTTTGTTATAACACATTTTCTATTAAACAAAGTTATCCCCGGATCACGTGTCGACATTTTTGCGGTCGATCCCTATATGTTTTGTCTTCTTCAAAAAATCAAACTTTTGTGTATTTATAAACGACCTCAAATGACCCCCTAGATGGCATTTAACCTCCTATTTCAGTAATTTGTAATGAACACCCTACCAAGGATCATTCCATCCAAGTCACATTAGAATCCATCAAATTCTGTAGACAAAGAAACATTTGAAGCATATTTGAACAATGACCTCTAATGACCCCTACATGACCTTTGCCCTCAGTAATCCGATGAAGAATTGTGTCTTCCCAACTAAGAGTCACTGCATCCAAGTTTCATCCAAATCCATGAAAGTATGTAGAAGCTATACCTTTCTTTCAAAAACTGAACCTAAACTTTAACATACACATGGAGATACGGTCATACAGTCATACAGAATTTAAGAAGTGTCTCGCACAACTTTGTTTAGGCAACACAAAAATCTCAAAGGGAAACTGGCTAAGTGCATTAATATAATAATGGCAAGTAGGCTATTGGCAAGTTACATGTAGACATTATGATTACAAATATGAAGGTAGCATTTGTGGACAGGACTGTTAAAGATATAGTCCATCATTTGTAATTTGTGCATTTTGTTCGTTTGAAGCAACAAAAGTGTTCAAAATCTAATGAAGGATACTGAACAACTAACCTGATGAAGTTTCAGCTCAGCTTCAGCTGTATATTCCGAGAAAAACAGCATTCTAGGATCTCAATTTCAAATCAAAAGTTGCTGAATCATGTTTTGAATTGTTTTGAATTGCTACGCGATGTCGCGCACTGATCCGACGAATTATGGCAACCGCGTGCGCCTGTGCGTCGTGCCAATGCTTGCGCGCGCTGCGCCGAATAACAAAACGAACTACTAATTTAAATTTTCCTACGGTGCGTCTTAAGACGCACCGATGGAAAGGCCTTCTTTCGTTGATTACTTCAAAAGGATAGCTTGCCAGAAAGATTAATTTCACAGGGAGTTTAGTCCACTTACTATCTTTCAACCAAGTATGTTTTTCAACAATAATACGCCAGTTACTTTTTCGGATAGCTGCAAATGATGGACTATAGCTTTAAAATATATTGTTCTACTCTTTGAAGATTAATAATTGAAAACACACGTCTTTGTACAAAAACAGCACCACACAGTAAGAAGGCACCAGCAATCCTAAATATACTTTGGCATATAAGGCAGTGATATTCAAAAACACTAATGTTAATTGGCAAGATATGTAAATGACTGTCACCTACAAAGGCATCAACTTGCATAGCAATTTTATGTGAATACAGTTTTGATATATTTTCTAGAAAAAGTACAGTTATGAATATTTCCCTATGAAATAAGTTCCTTTAAAATACATAGACGACTAAATTATGAAATTAATAATACACAAAGATATTAATAAATGACTACATAAAAAGCTGAATACAAGAGTATTGCACTAAATATAATTCTAAAGCTCCATTTTAAAGATATGAGCTGAATAACTGAGGTATAGGCCTACTACAAAAATTCAGAAATCCCCAACGACGACAAACCAAATTCTTTTCAGATACAATGTAGCTTGAAAAGTCTTAGCTTTTAACTGGCATCTGTCATGGCACAGCTTAAAAAATCTGCAACCCACTTGCAGAAACATGTTCATGTATAAATGTCATCAAAAGAATGTGCTTGCAAGCACTCGCAATGAAACATCGGAATCATGAGCTACATGTTAAAGGGAATATACATCATTTGCTTTTGCTGTAATTTTCTGAAATGGATGGAATTGGGGGGTTGGAAATATATAGCAAATATAGTTACACTGACTTTTTTGAGGTTTTGGGTTCGAAAATGCTATAAAAACCAAGAAAAACAATCATTTTCCTGTAGTCTGGTTCCCTGACTCCATATAAGAAGAAACAGAGCAGCTTACATACATTGGGGAATTGTAAGGTCAGGGAACCAGTCTAGCTGGCTTGTATTCGTTCATAGGTGTGTAATCGATTGCAAACAAGTGCGATGGTCAATTGGGGCCAGTATTTGAAAAAAAGCCAGTTTTTTTCCAACGCTGATCGGCCGATCAGCGTTGGAAATTGATACAAAAATAGCACTTTTCTTGAAAATAACAGTATACCAGGTGCCATGATTTTACAGGATGCTTTACACTGTCATTCACTAACAGTCCAGCAAGGTATTTCAAAATGATTTGGTAGTTTTATTTTTTGATGTTTGCAAATGTTGTATTTTCCCTTTAAAGGGAAACTGCGTCCTGGAATGAGACCAATTGACCTATCGCGGCAGAATTGCGGTAGAATCGCGCCAACGCAGCTTGTGAAATATTGTTAGCTTGTGAAACATACAAATGGACGCGGAACGCATCAAATCTGAGACAAACAAAACTATAGTGAGCAAAAACTCTATAGGGTCGTCTAAGGGGTGTGGCTAACTCGCAAACGGCGATAGCTTAAATGGGCTACAAAACGAGCTTTCAACGAAATGCTGTTAACCGGAGAGAACATTTAAAAGTAGGATATAAACATCCACACAACTATCCTTTAAAAACTGGACGTTTTGTTTTATTCTTTTGTTCGCACGAGGACAAATTTCGGGTCCACTTTTGTGACCCCAAAAAGTCAGGCTGTTCATGCTAGTTGTGATTTAGTAAAGTGTTCGCCTTTTGCGGACGTGTAAGAAACATTTGTGTATTCGTGCTGTGTGTAATTTTATGTGACAAACACAACGTGTATCGTACATTGACTGAAACGACAGGCAAAACGTATGCGTACTCTGTCTTGTCTGATGTAAACAACCAGGGTTTTTCTGTCTTTTGCGGGAACGGTAAGACATTAGGTTGGTTTCCTTTCAACCAGATGTTTGAACTAGGATAAGCAAACAATCCAAGACTTGAACATTTTGTGGATTTCAGGACACAGTGCCCCTTTAATGTCACACATACATTCATTCACATGACAAACTTCTAGCCGATATCTGGGTCATGCATCTTGACTATCCGCAATTGAATTGGTATGTGATTGTGACCCAGGCACCAGTCCATGTCAGGGAATGACAAGCATT